GAGGTAGAGAGGGAAAATGGGAGGGGAGGGGAGGGGGGATAGTAGGGGATAGGAAAGGTAGCAGAATACAACAGTCACTAATAAGCCATTATGTAAAAATGTGAGTGTGTAACCGATGTGATTCTGCAATTTGTATTTGGGGTAAAAATGGGAGTTCATAACCCAATTGAGTCAAATGTATGAAAGATGATATATCATGACCTTTGTAATGTTTAGAACAACCAATAAAAAAAATTTAAAAAATATGTAGATTGCTGATGAGCCCCATCTTAGAAGCTTCAGAAATCCTGGGTTTTTTTTTTTTAACAAAGTTTCTGGTGGTTCTGATTTAGTTAATTCTCAGAAATGTGCTTAAAAAGAATCAAAGTACGGTAAACTAATAAACTAAATATAATAAAACCTTGAAGGCTGAAATATCTGAAATGTATTCATTTACTGAACAAACATGTCTAAGCATCTGTTATGTGCTAGGAATTATGCTATTTTCTAGGGCTACAAAGATGAATAATACATGGTTTCTGCTCTCAAGCTTTGACTCTAAAAGAAGAGAGATCAGTAAACAAGACAGTGTGGTCAGTGAAAAGATAGAAATATATAGGATGTTATGGAAGCAAATAGAAGGAGGAGCTAACCTGTCCTGATTGGTTTGTGGAGGAGGGAGGCAAGATCAGAAAAACTTTATGGAAGTAGCTGAGCTCTTCTATAACTTATTCCTTATACCATCATGTATTACCTTCAATTGTTTTTCTTAGAAATCTTTCTAAAATGTGTTATATATTTCTGTTTCCTTAAACAGAACTCACATAATGTATCCTTTCTATTGATTATTTGGCAGGATCAATGTTATCACATTGCCATATAGCAAAATAATATACCTTTTATTTCAGAATACAAGATTAATTTTTATTATCCAAAATGGTCCCCAACTACATTTTTGCTATTCTCATTTTTACTGTCCAATATTGTCTTTGGCATCAGTCTGATTCTGGTTTTCTTAGTGTCAATGTGGCTGTCTTTAGAGTACTACATTTACTTAAGCTTTTCCTTGGCCAACATAATTCAGACCAAAAAATTGTGAATAAAGTAAAAGTAGAAAGTATTCTATTGAATATGTGAGTTTTAGTCTATTTTAACTCCTAAGTTGTCTTTTTTATTATTCAAAGCTAGTGGATACTTTAGAAATCATATAATACATCTCCTTCATTATATATACAAAGAAACTGAAGCAAAATATACCACAGATCCATTGCAATCAAAAAGTAGAATCTAGGCCCCCTGATAATAGAAAGGTTCCATTCTATAAAATAAGCCATTCTTTTTTTAAAATAAAGTTTCTTTTTTTAACTTTGTTTTATTTATTTATATTTGATGCTGAGGATTGAACCCAGGGCCTTGCACGTGCGAGGCGAGTGCTCTACTGCTGAGCCATAACCCCAGCCCTAAAATAAGACATTCTTAACTAGAGAGTTACAGCAGAACTATCTGGAGAATTATTCAAAATATGCCTTCTTAGGACTCACCCCTATGATCCTAATTCAGTAAGTCTAGCATATATATTTTTAAATTAAAAAATTCTTGGAAGATTCTGATATGTACTCCTGAACCACCACACTTTAATTTGGCACCATATGTCAGAATTTGTTTCTGAGTGGTTAAATAGGCATTAAAAGTCTAAATCATGAGAAAGAAACTTAGGAGTTTACTGTGAGTGAAAAAGTCATTAGAGAGTTTTGTGCAGAAAGGTAATATGATCTAAATTTGACTTTTTAAAGGATTCCTCTACTGTGTGGAAAACAAATGGGGGATGGGTGAGATACCTCTAGTGGAGATATAGGTCAGGATACAGTACATTAGCTCAGGCAAAGAGATGTATAGAGACTTTGACCTGAGTGATAATAGAGGATGTGGTGAATAATGAATAGATCTGGGACATATTTTTAAAGTAAAAGCAACGGGATTTACTGACAAATCAGATGCACAGTATGAAAGGAGTCAAGGATCATTCATTCTTAAGTTTGTGGCCCAAATTGGAAAGATGGAATTGCCTTTTTCTGAAACAGAAAACTGAAAGAGAAGTAAGTTTGGGAATGAGATTGGGAAATTATTTTTGGATATGTTAAATTTGAATTGTCTTTTAGACGCCCAGATTATAGTTTGGTGAAATTGGTAGTCTGAAGTTCCCAGATGAATATAAACTTGAAATTCATCAACATAAAGATGACATTTAAGATCATAAGAGTAGATGAAATTGCCAAGAAAATGAATGTTGATAGAGAAGATAAGAGGCTAAAGAATATTTCAACAATTGTAGGTCAGATAGGGAGAACCAAATGGAGACTAAGAAGAATTAACCAGGAAGGTGGGAAGAAAACCAGGAGGGGGTAATAGCCTGGAAGCTTTAAGTAGTATCGCAAAACACAGGAATGATTAGTTGTATCAAATGGTGGAATGTAATAAAAACTGTCACTTAACCTTTGGAGTTAGCCATGGTTAACCTTGACCAGGAATAGTTCAGTAGGATAATGGGGCAAAAGTTTTACATAGGCATGAGTTCAAAAGAGAGTGAGAAAAAGAGTTGAGAATAGACACTCTTTGGAAGGTTATTCTGTGAAAAGGAATGGAAAAGTAGCATGATAGTTGGAGGAGGTCTTGAAGTCAAAAGGTTATTTTGGAAGATTGGAAAAATTGCTGGGTGTGGTGGCACATACCTGGAATCCCAGCTACTCAAGAGACTGAGGCAGGGGGATAACAAGTTCAAGAACAGTTTGAGAAACTTAGTGAGACCCTGTCTCAAAAGAAAAAGGGCTGGGATATAGCTCAGTGGTAGAGAAACCCCTAGGTTCAATCCCCAGTATGGGGGGAGGGGAGGAAGATAAGGAGGGAGGGAATGAAAGAGAAAGAAAGAGAAAAGAAAAATGGTATGTTATGCTGGTGTGAATTATCCAGAAAAGAAAAAATTGGAGAGAAAGGGGAGAATTGGTATAACTACATCTTTAAGTAAGAAMGTGGGGATAGGATTTCATGCACAGAGGAGGATTTAGGATTTATTCATAGGGATATGATCTTCTACAAGAATAATGGAAGGGAGAGCAGATGATATAGGTGCACATGCAGAGAGGTAGATAGAGATGAGAAGAGCAAGTTGTAGAAGTACTTTTTTAAAACCTGATTCCATCATAGAAAGCGAGGATAGTAGCTCTTATTAAGTATGGGAAGAGTTATTTGAAGTTCAAAAAAGAAGGGAAAATATGAAATAGTTACCTGGGAGAAGAAAAGGGTAAATGGACCACAAGATTGATAGAAGGGCAGTTCCAACGGCATACTTGAATTTAAAATAAATTCAGTCAGCTTGAATGTGAATTTTTCTAAGCTCTACATTTAGATAGCTGGATCATAGACATGGAATAGGGGAAATAACCAGCAATGGGATTTTGTCAGAATACAATGTGAGAGGAAGGCAAAGAAGTAACTGTAAGGATAGATCATGGAATTTATGCTTAGTTAGGAAAGAATTGAAGCTGGAAGTAGAAGAGGGATCTGTGACAGATTTTAGAATCAGTTAACCGTAGGGTCTTCTGGGTCAAAGACTATTAGAATTGAAGTATTTGACAGAGTGAGCTTGAAAGACAGACGGTGGTGATTTGAGAAGGACATGCTGAAATGAAATGTCCAGTGCTTTAAACTGAATGAGGTGCCTACTAGTTTGTTCAGTGGCTATAATAGTTATTTTAATTTATTAATTTGTTAGGTTCATGACTACAAAGAAGGAACCCCAGAAGAGAGGACCTACTATATAGAATTATGGGATGTTGGAGGCTCTGTGGGCAGTGCCAGCAGTGTGAAAAGCACAAGAGCAGTATTCTACAACTCTGTGAATGGTAAAGCGTCTTTTATTTTTACCCCATTTTAATGGTCTGTGAATATATAATACCTTATATGAAATGCTAATGGCATGCCAGACTCAACTTAATTTGAGAAAGATTTAAAATACCACTTTTGACTTAAATATTCATATTACATTTCAACTTATGTTTCTAGATTCTAACCATGTGATTCAGAAGAGTAAACATCTGCTTTGTCTAAGTCCTATTTATATTATTGACATAAACAAAATATTGAGAATTAAAATTTTATTTTGGGTACTTGACATAAAACAGAACTTTCAAAACACTGTCCCTGGGAATGCTGTTTCTCTAGTCAGTTGAGTGGAATCCTATGGTCTTAAGCCAGATATCCAGAGATGCAGATTTCTTTCATCTGCCCCTTAGAGAGAGACCTATGTAATTTTAAAGAGCTGCCTGAGGGTGTTTTTAGGGATGCAGAAGTTTCATCCAGTTATAAATATTCAAGTTTTAGAAGCAGACTTTCAGATGGAGGTGTGTAATAAAGGACATAATTGCAGTTCATGGAGTCCTTGTCAAATTCTGGCTACCCTACCTACCTAAGGCTAGTTACTCAGCCTCATTTCCTCAGGTGTAGAAATATATAATAATATTTCATAGGATTGTTCCAAAAATTAAACTAGATAACATAATTTAAAAATCTGACACATAAGTGCTAAATAAACATTAACTATATTCTTTAATAGTAGTTCTTTTTTGTTTTTTTTTTTTTCTCTGTGTTCTTGATCCCTGTGAGAACCTCTGTGAGGACAGTTAGATAGCGGGCAAGTGTCAGATCTGTATTTGCTCAAGACAGCAGAAGTACAGGTTTATCTGAGCTGGTTGGAACAAATCTACTATACAAGCACCTTAGTCATACAGACAGCTGAAAAACTAGAGAAGCCAATTAATTCTGCTTCTTCTGTCCTTATTTTTCAAGTTGATGTATCCCATATTCAAAGATGGACAAATCATTAATTTTGCATTCTCTTTTTACAGTAGAATCAGGCTAATATACGAAAGGATTGGGAATTTTAAAACCTGTAGTTTTGACCACAAGAGACTAAGCATTAAAGCCTTTCTTCTTTTATCTTTATCTTATTAAAATAATTACCTACTTTGCCTTTCTGTCTAGGATCTTAATTGATTCAGTTTAATTATATGTCTGAACGGTATTACATTTCGTYATTTTTCTCAATGTCTCAAAAGTTAGATATTTTATACTATTTATATGCTTCATTATCTCTTCCTACTCTTTCCTGGTGGCATATTTCTTTTGTCTATTAACTAAATCTCTTATAGGTAGCAAGMTTACATAGCTAACCATTAATTCCAAGAACTAGAAAGTGTCAAGTTGATCAAGCCCAAATATCTTTAGGGCTGCATTTTGTCTGCTAAGGAAAAGTGTTTGTGCAAATTAAATCAATACCACTTTACTACATTCTTATTGTATTTTTAGTGAGTATAAGTAAAATGTTTGTACTGATATCTGTTGCAGGACTATATACAGTGCAGAAACAATGTAACTTTGAATGAATATAGTTTCTAATTATACTTTAGTTTTGATGCTCTTGATTGATAAAGTGGTTCTGCAAGTAGGACCAGACATAGAATAGGCACTCAGGAAGTGTTGAATGCAAAATAGGAAAGACATTAGAAATATTTAAAGATATTTTGCCAGCCCTTCTAGAATTTTTTTCATTATATAACTGACAGTTTTATAGCTAATTATTTCTAAGTATTTGTAGAGAAATTTTTTTTAAATTGTTTTGAGATTGTTAGTCATACTATAATATTAGATTGATTAAACCACATAATGTTTGGACTTACTAAGCTTAATTTTGTCAATTGCAATATGAAGAAGAGTTATTTACAATACTAAGATTATTATCTCTGATTATTTTAGGTATTATTTTAGTACATGACTTAACAAATAAGAAGTCATCCCAAAACTTGTATCGTTGGTCTTTGGAAGCTCTCAATAGAGATTTGGTGCCAACTGGAGTTTTAGTGACAAATGGGTAAGCTTGGAATTACTTTACAGTTGGTTTGAAATGTTATAACAATCATTTTTGATTTTCAAATTTTCTCCTAGTCTATAGATTATCTTTTCATTCTCATTCACTCTGTGTGTGTGTGTATGTGTGTGTGTGTGTGTGTGTGTGTGTGTCTCTCTCTCTCTCTTTCTCTCTCTCCTGGGGATCGAACCCAGGGCACTTTATCCCTGAGCTACACCCCAGTCCTTTTTATTTTTTATTTTGAGACAGGGTACTGCTAAATTGCTGAGGGTCTCACTAATTGTTGAGGCAGGCCTTGAACCTGCAATCCTTCTGCCTCAGCCTTCTGAGTCTCTCTAGGATTATAGGCATGCGCCATACACAGTTCTTTTCATTTTCTTAATAGGGTCTTTCACAAAGCATTTGTTTTCATTTTGATGAAATCTAATCTCTTAGTGTTTTTTTTTTGGATTATGTTTTGATATCATGTGTAAAAACTCTGCCTAATCCCTGATTATGCAGGTTTTATAGTTTGGGGTTTATATTTAGATTTGTAATCTGCTTTAAGTTAGTTTTATAGAAGATGTGAAGTTTTGTCTGAGGTCAATTTTTGCATTTGAATGTCCAGTTGTCCCAGCACCATTTGCTGAAAAGATTATCCTATGATATCAAAATGTACCYACACAGCAAAGGAAACAAGAATGTGAAGAAAGAACCTACACAATGAGAGAAAACTGATTTTAAGCAGTTATCAGCTTTGTTTGAATACCAATAACAAAATTTCCCATCAGTTTTTTCACTTAATGGTTTAAAAAAAATACTGAAGATCAAATTGGAACTAGGATTTTATGAAAGAAAATAAGAAAAAAAGGAAAGCTAAAAAGAAATAAGAGAATATATATATATATATATATATATATATATATATATATATATATATATATATGCTTTACATATACTTTAAGTGACAGAAATGTAGAAATGTATGTGTGTCAAAGATGATATCTGCCTGGGCATGTAGCTCAGTGGTGAAGTTCTTGCCTGACATGCACAGGCTCTGGATTCAATCATCCCCACTACTGCAAAAAAAGAAAAAAAAAACTTGATAGAATATATACAAAATTTTTATGAGAAAGAATTGGTGAATTCCTCAGACACTCTGAAATTTTTCTAATAAGTTAAATGTCAATTTMAAATTATGTCCAAATCAGGATTGATGCTGGTAAGAAAAGTTAAAGGCCTTAAACTTGAGCCATTATTGGCTTTGATGCAGTAAATAGAAGAATAATTTTTGAATGAGATGGAAGATTATGTAGTTGAAAACAATTGTGTTCCAAGCTGATTGTGAAGGGCATAAAGATTTAGTAATTTTGCCCTCCACCCCAATTTAATTGCTCAAAAGAAAKAAAATTGGTATTAAAGAAAGAAAAGAAACTATGCTCAGCTGGGTTTTGTTGATTGGATTATATGATATTGATTTACTGTCGTAAATTCTTTTTAAATATTTTTACTTATAGATGGACACAATGCCTTTATTTTATTTGTTTTTTTTTTTTTATATGGTGCTGAGGATCAAATCCAGTGCCTCACACATGATAGGCAAGTGCCACAACCCCAGCCCCTGTCCTAAATTCTTCAAAAGCAGATTTTGGTATTATATATTGAGCTTGAACATATCAGAATTGTAAGTCTTTTAATTCTATGAACAGACTTTCAATTAATTCAACAATGGACTTTATATTTCTTTCAAAAATATCATTTATATCACCCTATCCTTTAGATAAATAGAGAAAAAAATGTTGTAATAGCCAGTGGCCCAAGGCCACTAACCCTAAATGATTCTGATTGCCTTGTCTCCCATAATCTCATGTCAGAACAAATAACTATTTGGTAATACATTTTTTGCTCTCACTATTCATTTTCATTTCACTTGTTTTCTACCATTTCCTCTTGTTTAATAGATCTTTCTTTGGGCTATGGCATCACCTACATTCAATTTATTCTAGCCTTTTGCTTCCCTACTTCTTCCTTTCCTGAAGTGATCTCTTCTTTATTCATAGATAGAAATATGCATGATACATTTAGAGCTTATGCATACATCAAAAAGTACCCAGGAGCTTGCCATCTTCCTCTCTGGCATGAGGCCTGAGTACCATGTTAGGCTCCTACATTTTTCTACCCTGAAGTTTGAATCCATTCTTTGCTTCTACAATGAAAAATTTCTGAGTCATTGGCCGTAAAAGACAGACCTTGGGGAAGTCAAGTCACATGTCTGTGGTATACTTGATGAGCACTCTCACTCAGTTGTTCAAGTAGACTATTGTAAAGACATACAAAAACAAATGTTGAATAGTTAAATGAATAGTTGGACCTTAATAGATGATGGTGAAGGATTGATAAATGAACAAATAAATGGAAGAAATTGGAAAAAAAATAATTTGTATGTGATGGGTGAGCCAGGAATCAATTATCAGTGAAAATAGTGTAAATTACTTGTATTTAAATGTTGCACATCTGCATTGGGAAGGTAAATTCTGTTCACCTCTTCCTTATTATTTATCACAGGGACTATGATCAGGAACAGTTTGCAGATAATCAGATCCCACTTTTGGTAATAGGCACTAAACTGGACCAGATTCATGAAACCAAGCGTCATGAAGTTTTAACTAGGACTGCTTTCCTAGCTGAAGATTTCAATGCAGAAGAGATTAATCTGGTATGTATTTTCACTAATGTATGTGTATTATTACAAGGTAAAGGCAAGATCAAAGACTTATTTTCAAATCATATATTTTAGTGAAAGAGGCTTTATACTTGAAGTCAGATTGTTGGAGTTCTAGTCCAAAATGTAGACAAGATTGGAATCCACATATCTAGACTAGGTGGTCATAGTCAACTTTAGCCTGGTATATTGATATGTTGAAATGTTCAAACTTTTCTATAAATAATATAATCATGAGCTTTCAATTGAGAGTACTATTTTTTAAACCAAACCAAAATCAAAATAATTAAATTGATGAAGATGAAACTAGCTTGATTATTCTTGCTTTAGAAAAACCTCCTAGCTGCTTAAACAACAAAATTTATTTTAAAGGGCAAACTATAAAGTAGGAGTGCATTATAAAGACTAATTTATATAAATGTACGCATATAGAGAGGATTGAGTCCTCCCCTAAGATAGCTAATTTAATTACAACTGAGGGCTAAAAGGGCTAAGAAACTGTTCTCCTATAAGCCAGTCAGCATTACTCTGATAAGGATCCTGGCCAGCACCTTTAGTCRTGGTTGTCGTTGTTCACAAGTAGGATTTCTATAACATAATCACTGAGTGCATTGCATTCCAGATATGCCGTGGTTGTGGTTTAATAATACTAATGGCCAACATTTGTTGAGTACTTATTATGTGCCTGTTCTAGTACTTTACAAACATCATCTCACATGTATCATCTTCACATCAACACTGTGAAGTACATAATATTACTATCCCCATCTTAAACATGAAGACAAGAAGGAGAAAGAGGTAACTAGGCCAAAATCACACAGGTCAAGTAAGGCGTTCTCAACTCCACAGCCTATGGTCTACAGTTAAGCCCTTCCTCACTTATTTATCCTCCAACTAATATTAACAATTTTKGAGTTGAAATAACTCTTGGAAATCATGTGGACCAATAGTTACTCAAACCTGACTGGATATTTATATTGCCAATAGTACCTGTGAAAAATTTTTGATTACCTGCCCAAATAGCTGGAGATTTTTATTCATAGTATCTGGTGGTAAGTCCAGGATGCTTTAATTTTGCCTTTCTTTTTTAAGTGGTACTGGGGATCAAAGCCAGGGCCTGACACATGCTAAGCATACACTTTACCACTGAGTACAGTACACCCCCACCCCCAAGTCTGTAATGTCAACAGATACTTCAGGTGATTCTGATGCTCTTGCTCTGTGAATCAGTGTTTGTGAACACTGCTTGATTTAACCCCATCTCTGTCCCCATAACTGMGTCAGCTCTTGCCTGCCATTCCATTGTTTCTTTACATTCTGCTATGCAATAGAAAATACCTTATTTTTCTCAGCTGACACTATGGAATATTCATTGTGACTACTTCAAGTAGTCGGTGCTGCCAGAGGATTCGTACTCTAGAGATATGTAATATCCACATTGAAGAAGTGCTGGGGTTACTTCATTTAAACATTATTTCCAAAGGGAAATTTACCATTGAATATACTTATTTTATTCCAGTGATAACATGTAATTTATTTCTGAATATATCTGTTTCTAGTGCCCATGGATTTCTAGACGTATGTTATTCCTACTTGCCTTACAAAAAGCAGGGCTACCTTTATTTGTTAGCAAGATGTAAAGGTATGCAAATAGTGGGACTTCAGCTCACACAGTCTCCAAAGAATTTAAATTACATCATGATTTTAGCTTTTATCAGTGTATAGCTTCAGAAACAAAACATAAAAGAGAAGAGACGGTGATCAGGATATAGGAAACAAAAAATGAGAAAAGTTGGGTGGAAGAGTTTCAAAACAAAAGGAGTCAAAAAGATTCAGCAAGTAAATATAAGACCTCAAAAACTAATGTAACAATATTAGGATTAGTGCTGGTTCATCAGTTATTATATGAATTTGCTTAAAACTAAATAAAAGTGAGAATATAACAAATATATACATCAAAAAGCAGAATTAAAGTTCTGCCTGAGTAAATGCAACTTGTTTATAATTTAAATGATTATATGGTGGAAGATTACTTATGTTTATAAAATCTTGTTAGACTTACTGTGTCTGGTACAAATTTTTCTATTAAGTATTTATTTCAAAGTGATCATACTGAAACATCTTCCCTACTTAATAGTCCTTTCTCAAGCTCAGATGAGCTATTTAGAGCTATTAATTTTCAAGCTTTGCCCTCATCCATGATCAATGACAGATGGCTCTTTCAGCTCTTAATATTTTCACCCAAAATCATAGGGATTTAGATTCTCTAGGCAACTTGAAATTGTGGGTTTCTAGAATTAAGGTTTGATGTGGTTTGTTTGCTGTTTGATTTGGTTTCTGTATTTAGTAATTTATCTATATTTTAGAATCATCTCTGGTATCTTTGACATTCTGATGGCTAGGTAATCAATATCATTTTGCAAAACATTTCTAATTCAGGTCTAACATTTTTCATTTTTATGCCCCTACAGCTGTAGAAATGTGCTCAAACATTATTTCAAATATAACAATGTGAATGATGATGTTTTAGTACATCTAATCCATATACAGAATTATCTTTATTGTGTTAGATGCTTTTGTGTCTGAAAATTCAATCAGCATTTTCTTAGAATGGGGAAGAGAACTAATATTACAGTACCTGCTAAGTGCGAAACTTGGATTATCTCATTGATTTTCACAAAAATTGTATGGAATAAGTAGTATTATTCCCATTTCACAAATGAGTAAGCCCAACATTAAAGGCTTAGTCACCTAAGCAGCATTTTACGTTGTAGAAATATTTTTTCCCTTTAATTTTTATTCATGGTTGTTCAAAACATTACATAGTTCTTGACATATCATATTTCACACTTTTATTCAAGTGGGTTATGAGCTCCCATTTTTACCCCTATACAGATTGCAGCATCACATCAGTTACACATCCACTGTTTTACATATTGCTATACTAGCGTCTGTTGTATTCTGCTGCCTTTCCTATCCTCTCCTATCCCCCATCCCCTCCCCTCCCATCTTCTCTCTCTACCCCATCTACTGTAATTCATTTCTCCCCCTTGTTTTTTTTTCCCCTTTCCCCTCACTTCCTCTTGTATGTAATTTTGTATAACCATGAGGGTCTCCTTCCATTTCCATGCAATTTCCCTTCTCTTTCCTTTTCCCTCCCACCTCTCACCCCTGTTTAAAGTTAATCTTCTTCTCATGCTCTTCCTCCCAACTCTGTTCTTAGTTACTCTCCTTATATCAAAGAAAACATTTGGCATTTGTTTTTTAGGGATTGGCTAGCTTCACTTAGCATAATCTGTTCTAATGCCATCCATTTCCCTGCATATTCTATGATTTTGTCATTTTTTAATGCAGAGTAGTACTCCATTGTGTATAAATGCCACATTTTTTTTATCCATTCGTCTATTGAAGGGCATCTAGGTTGGTTCCACAGTCTTGCTATTGTGAATTGTGCTGCTATGAACATCGATGTAGCAGTGTCCCTGTAGCATGCTCTTTTTAGGTCTTTAGGGAATAGACCAAGAAGGGGAATAGCTGGGTCAAATGGTGGTTCCATTCCCAGCTTTCCAAGAAATCTCCATACTGCTTTCCAAATTGGCTGCACAAATTTGCAGTCCCACCAGCAATGTAGAAGTGTACTCTTTTCCCCACATCCTCGCCAGCACTTGTTGTTGTTTGACTTCATAATGGCTGCCAATCTTACTGGAGTGAGATGGTATCTTAGGGTGGTTTTGATTTGCATTTCTCTGACTGCTAGHGATGGTGAGCATTTTTTCATGTACTTGTTGATTGATTGTATGTCCTCCTCTGAGAAGTGTCTGTTCAGGTCCTTGGCCCATTTGTTGATTGGGTTATTCATTTTCTTATCGTTTAATTTTGTGAGTTCTTTGTATACTCTGAATATTAGGGCTCTATCTGAAGTGTGAGGAGTAAAGCTTTGTTCCCAGGATGTAGGCTCCCTATTTACCTCTCTTATTGTTTCTTTTGCTGAGAAAAAACTTTTTAGTTTGAATAAATCCCATTTGTTGATTCTAGTTATTAACTCTTGTGCTATGGGTGTCCTATTGAGGAATTTGGAGCCCGACCCCACAGTATGTAGATCGTAGCCAACTTTTTCTTCTATCAGACGCAGAGTCTCTGATTTGATATCAAGCTCCTTGATCCATTTTGAGTTAAGTTTTTTGCATGGCGAGAGAAAGGGATTCAGTTTCATTTTGTTGCATATGGATTTCCAGTTTTCCCAGCACCATTTGTTGAAGATGCTATCCTTCCTCCATTDCATGCTTTTAGCCCCTTTATCAAATATAAGATAGTTGTAGTTTTGTGGATTGGTTTCTGTGTCCTCTATTCTGTACCATTGGTCCACCTGCCTGTTTTGGTACCAGTACCATGCTGTTTTTGTTACTATTGCTCTGTAGTATAGTTTGAGGTCTGGTATCGCTATACTGCCTGATTCACACTTCCTGCTTAGAATTGCTTTTGCTATTCTGGGTCTTTTATTTTTCCATATGAATTTCATAATTGCTTTATCTATTTCTACAAGAAATGCCGTTGGGATTTTGATTGGCATTGCATTAAACCTATAGAGAACTTTTGGTAATATCGCCATTTTGATGATGTTAGTTCTGCCTATCCATGAACAGGGTATATTTTTCCATCTTCTAAGATCTTCATCTATTTCTCTCTTTAGGGTTCTGTAGTTTTCATTGTATAAATCTTTCACCTCTTTTGTTAGATTGATTCCCAAGTATTTTATTTTTTTTTGAGGATATTGTGAATGGAGTGGTTGTCCTCATTTCCATTTCAGAGGATTTGTCGCTGATATACAGGAATGCCTTTGATTTATTCGTGTTGATTTTATATCCTGCCACTTTGCTGAATTCATTTATTAGCTCTAATAGTTTCTTTGTAGACCCTTTTGGGTCTGCTAGGTAAAGAATCATGTTATCTGCAAATAGTGATAATTTAAGTTCTTCTTTCCCTATTTTTATGCCTTTAATTTCTTTTGTCTGTCTAATTGCTCTGGCCAGTGTTTCAAGAACTATGTTGAACAGAAGTGGTGAGAGAGGGCATCCCTGTCTTGTTCCAGATCTTAGAGGGAATGCCTTCAATTTTTCTCCATTCAGAATGATGCTAGCCTGAGGCTTAGCATAAATTGCTTTTACAATGTTGAGGTATGTTCCTGTTATCCCTAGTTTTTCTAGAGTTTTGAACATAAAGGGATGCTGTACTTTGTYGAATGCTTTTTCYGCATCTATCGAGATGATCAWATGGTTCTTATTTTTAAGTCTATTGATGTGGTGAATAATATTTATTGATTTCCGTATATTGAACCAGCCTTGCATACCAGGGATGAATCCTACTTGATYATGGTGCACAATTTTTTTGATATGTTTTGTATCCCTCTGCAGGTTTCTGGGCCTGTTCTGCCTACCTTGCAGGCACGCGGCTCTGCCCCTCCCCCAACTGTGTTTACCACACTGGCGGGCCGCTGGTCCTGTTCTCCGGTGTAGAAATATTGGCACAGATTTTCAAATATAGAACTTGCTGGCTTCAGAGACCCCTGATTTCCCTGCTCTTTTGTGATCTTTGAAATTTTTTGTTGTCTCTTCTTTTTTGTGGTTTTGGAGAATGTAGTACAAGTTCTTGCTGAAATTTAAAATGTGATCCTTGAAATGTTCTGTTTAGATAAAATATGTAATTGTTTCTAAATTCACTAGAAAGGAACCATGTAGATCTAAAGATTACAAAAAAGTAATTGCAGTAGTTTTTCAAGGGGCACAGACAAATATCCTTGCAAAGGAGCCAACATGATATCCTCATAATTTGGTTTTAGGTGGCATTTGAGGTCAACATCAAAATACACTGCCTTTTGAGGTGGCATGTCAGTGGCGACAAGTACAAACAGTATATATAACACTGAGTTTCTAAGAGAAGGATAGTAAGTCTTTTAAGGTTTTTATAAGTTACTGTAATGATATAATGTGCCATTCTCCCCCTATTTTAAAGAATCCTACTGAATAATAATAATAATGTGTTTATTTATTAATGTCAAAAAGGGTATATCTTTGTGACCTACCACAAGATGGAGAAATCCTTGACAACTCTTCTGTTTATTCTGTACTTCTCTAAATCCTTATATTAATGCTTCATTCTGTTTTATAAACTGCATAGTATTTAGTTGAGCACTAATGAGTACCTAGTCCTAAAATATGAGGACTGTTTGTAATGGATCTATTTCCGGTTTTCAGGACAAATGCAGACAGGTACCTGATTAGTATCTTATTTTTTGTTGTTTTGTTAGTAAACAGTTCTGTCTTCCTTTATGAATCAATGATGAATTGATTCCCTATACTCCAAAATTGCTTAAATGACAAAGAGTAAGTAGCCTTCTCTTTGATACCTTCCTTTTTGCTTTGTGCATCATAATTTGAAAATTATTTGAATATTTTATTAGAGTATCCTAATAATTTAGTATAGAAATGTGCAACAGGAAATTCAAATTAATGAACTTTTATTTGTGGATCTTATGTTTTCTAGGATTGTACAAATCCTCGGTATTTAGCTGCAGGTTCTTCCAATGCTGTCAAGATCAGTAGGTTTTTTGATAAGGTAATGGCTTCAATTAAGTTATTTTTAAATGTAATTTATATATTTGAGAGTTTAAAGTCTTTGTGGAATGCCTTGTCCCTTTATTCCTTCACCCCAAACTTCACAGCCTGAATAATACCTATTTTGACCTCTCTTATCTGTTGATATAATTGCTCAAGGCCTGCTGACGTATTTATTCCATCACCAGTGTTCTCTAAGCAAAGGGTGAAAACTACTGGATTCAAGTGGAGTTTTTAAAAACATACCTAATTCCTCTCCTTGAGACAATTTATGCTTACTCATTTTCTACTCTTTTTGTTACTTCCTCATGCCCCCCCCCAAAAAAGGCACTGCACTGAGAAGATTCTGCTCAGTACAAGCCTGAGTTCTTTCTGCTTTTTGAGCTATTAGTATTCTCCATTAAGTTAAATGTTACTCTAACTTTGTAAGGTTACGTTGTTTTTTTGATTCCATAATATTTCCAGAATAGAAACTTTTGCTTTCAGGTTATTGACTCTTTGCTGGTGTCATCTTATTGTCACTGAGCTAGAATGAAACTTTAGGATGATTCAGCATACTGGTCTTTCCTTCACAAGACCAAATACCTGCATTGCACGTAACATTAATCAAGTTTAAGTTGTTTGCCCAATGTTGACATTGGATAATAAAATGAAACAGGATGTTTTCCTGCATGTCTCATTGAAAAAGATTAACTTCTGTATCATATTTCTTTTTAAGTATAATCTCCTAAGAAAAACATTTTCCTCCTTGTAGGTCTTCTTTATGAAAAAATTTTTTTAACTATTTAGAGATCATAACAAATATTTGTTTCTTTTTTTCAAGGTCACCAGAAGAGAAACCATACTCCCCTCTGTGTTTAATATTAGCCCATTAGGAAAATTTTGCCTCACTCAGAACTATGTGGTAAATAGGGTACAGATGTGTTCAGATACTGATTGCCACAGCTCTCAGAGCATCCAGAACCTACAGACAGGAGGTCTGGGTGGTAGGGGGTGTGCTGTACAAATATTAGCATTTTCTAATTATGCCACAACATGAAAAACATTGGAGAACACTGCAAAGAACCAGATTTTCTCTCCACATTGTTTTCAAACCTAAAGCATAAAAATTTCCATTTGGTTTAGATCCGTTGCACCCATCTCATAAAAAATTCTGTCCCCAAAGAGCAACATCATAAATGTCTGTATCTGGCCCAGAATGGTTCCACAGCATATTATTTAAAATTTTAAATTATTAATTTTGAAATTAAAAAGGAATATATAGAGAATTAATGAGTTATAAACTAGAATAAACCAGGTTGTTGGGCAACATTTATTTTTAAATATGAAGAAACAATTTGATTGTCTTAAGACAGTAAGGTTTAGTAAGAAAAGGACATTACAAGTTGGGGGTAAAGAACTATCAGCAAAAGCAAAAAGTGTCATTTCTCTCTTTGTTGCCTAAATCTCAACAAAATATATGTAGATTTTGAGATTGACCAGACCTCTACAGCCTGATATGGTTGCCTAAATCCTAGGCATCTAGCAGTAAAGTTGTACCCAGTTTCCTATATGTCAAATCTTCCAGAAGTTAATGTAAAGATTTCTTCTCCAAAAGGGAGTCTAATTCCTTCTTCAGACTTCCTTGGATAGTAGTAATACTACTCTAGCATGGTAATATTTTCCTGTCATGCAATGGACAGAGGAAAAGGAAGCAGTTCCTTATTTTTGTGGCATCAAGTATTTTGAGATATACACCATTCCAGAACCAGCGTTTTTACCCCTGAGCCAATGAATGCAACTTTGCTTTGGGTCTCTTGTGGCTTAAAATAACCTAACCATAGGCTCCAAGATTTAAAAAAAAAAAATCTGGATAATCTGGCTCTCAGGCCAGTCAAAGTACAGGCCAGGAAGAACATGCACTACTCTCATTCTGAGGAATTCTTTATGAATGTATTAGAGCTCATCTCCAGGTAACCTGTGTTCTTATTTAATTAACTTTCCTTATAACAGCTGCTCTATGTAAAGAAAATAGCACTGCCTCTACAACTATTGCAGTTTCTCAAGTGTTAGAACATATTTCATTATTTTTTTAAAATGTTTTTCATCATCTGAAAATATGGTGTTCTCAAGCTCATTACATTAGAACGTATATTTGAGAGTTTCTTTTCAATAGTAGAGATAGATTTGTGCAGATACAGCCACTGATTTAACTTATTTCTCCTACTTATCAAATACAGACAGTTCAGAACCCCTGAACTAAGGAAGCCAATGAAGTCCATAAAGGAAGCTAATTGATATCTTTGTTATCATCTGTCTACATTAAGGATATACAGAATTTATCACTATTTCCTATAGGCATATGGCAATTCACCACATCACATAGATGTCCTCTTTAAGGAATAGCTGTACTATTATAATGGGCAAGTGCTTTGCTTTAACTATGGATTCTGTTCCATGCCTTTTGAGATCAACAGCTAGGAAACTTAGAGCCAGATTTACTACTATGCTCTAGAAATTGCAGGGATCTTATCTTATTCTGTCATTTAGTTGTTTGTTTGTTCATTTATTGTTTTGATCTCTCACGCTTTTTGGAATGAAACAGGCCTTTCTGGAAATACTCTCACAATCCTGATCTCATTGGCACTGGATTTTAACTCATTGTACAAAATGTCTACATCTGTTAAATGAAATCCTTAATTTGGATACATTCCTTTTAGTCCCATCACCGACCCATTACAGTTAGCTGCTTTTTCCAGATATGTGTGCAAAGTCTCAAACTCTTGATTTGTTTCTTACAGGTCATAGAAAAGAGATACTTTTTAAAAGAAGGTAATCAGGTTGGTATCTGTCTTTTCTTGATAAAATGGGTTCTCAAATTTGGAGAGAAATGGTTTCCAAATTTATTTTCAGAAGCAGTTTTTTTAAAAAGTTGGGGAAGAGCCTTTGTAGGCACAGGCAATTTATTTTATCCTGTCTTATTTAAATTTAAAAGGAGAAAATCAGAGCAAAGGGAAAATAAGGATCCAAGATACAAGAAGAATTCAAGAATAAGGTTATATTACAAATAATAGAGGAAAATCATTTGCTTGTGACTCTAAAGGTATATGTCTGATATACCTCTGTTTGCCACAGTATAGATAATTCACATAAAAGTCCACTAGGTAAGTATTAGGAGATTTACCTTCATTCTTTCTGATTTAGTTGACATTATCACCAACTTACTGGCAAATGTTTTTCATTTTAGTAGAATTTTCTTTATTATTTAATCTGTGGTTTTCTGAGTAAAATCTCAGAAAGCTAGTTCTATAATGAACAACAGGCTGACATACAGAAACAAAAAACAGGGAAAAATTTAGTATTAGCATTTGAATTTTTCTGCTTAAAACTTATATATGATTATTTTTCTTGCCTGCAGATCTCAGGCTTTCCTGATCGAAAAAGGTTTGTGGGAGGAACATTAAAGAGCCTTCATTATGACTGAATTACACTCATCTTTTGGAAGAGCAAGCAAGCAGTGGCAGTTTTCACAGCTTTCCTCTTGCTGTGTCAATTATTAACATCTTAAAATGCTCCTTCAATCTCGCCCTTTAATGGAAAAATGAAAGGAAGTGACAATATGGGAGGTCCAGACTTTGTCCCCGTTCTCTCTGTTCCTCACCTTTCTGTCCCTGTTTATAGGTTATATAAAAGCCTTGTGGAAATATGAGACATTGTCAACATGATGCAGTAAATGAGCAGTGACAGTACTGCAGAGAAAATTTACTCTTGACTGGAACTGGAGGGTTTTTATGGCTCTGTAATTTTCCCACATTCATTGCTGAAGCCTTAATTAACTACTTCAAAAATGTATCTCTATTCTTTTTATTTTCTTGAGGGAAGAGTTTATGTTAACCAGCTCTGAGTTGTTCACCCAAAACAATCTATGTCATGTTCAAAGATGCTAAATGGTGTTATTTAATTGTCTCCCCTTCATCACACACTGGAATACCTAAGAATAGCAATCCTTATCTCCCTCTACTCTTCCTTGCAAATGGCTTGGTGGCTGGGAGAGGCAGACTAATAGCTGGAGTTAAATATAAATACAGATTAATAATACATAGAGAACAGCAGTACCAAAAAGAAGAAGAATTCTGTGAGAAAATGACAGCTCCTTCACTCTAGGTTACAACTGTCTGCAGTCTTCTACTGTTTTCTCTTTGGAAATAGGTATCGTGAAATCTAAGACCTTCACAAAGACAGTAAGAGATTTACAAACTCTTCAGTGTTTTTTGTTTGTTTTGCTTTGTTTTTAAGAAAATTAAGCTCCTGAAATGTTCCTTAAATATAGTTTACTGACGATATTATTCTGTCTTAACAATGTATGTATGGAGAAAAGTAAAAATAAGTTTCACAGCAACACATTTACATGAATTATGAACTAGGATTCTTGGATTACACAATCACTCCAGAGCTTTTAAGGAATGGCGTGTGTGTGTTCATGTGCATGTGTGCATAATTGTCCATCATTTTTTATCTGTCTCTTTTGCTTGTTTAATTGTCTCCACTCTATTTCTTCCTTAGTGCATAAAATTGGTTTCAAAAAACTATACTTTGTTGCTTTATTTTATTACTGTATCATCTATATTCCCTGTTTCTGATCTTGTTCCAAATTTTTTAAATAATAATAAATACACAACTTCAGCTCTCGTTTTTTATTCATTTTAACTAAATTTCAAAAATAGTTTTGAAATCAAGATATTCTGAAAGAGGATATTAAAAAATAATGTTAGTGAGTACTTTTAGAAGGCAGTCTAGGGAATTTGAAAAAGCATTTTTTTTTTTTAAAGAGAGAGTGAGAGAGGAGAGAGAGAGAGAGAGAGAGAGAGAGAGAGAGAGAGAGTGAAAAAGCATTTTTAAAGCACTTTTCATCAGCTAGATTATTGTCCAGTTCACTTCCTCACTGACAAGACCTAGCTCTGGTTTCTTTTTCAGTATAAAGGAGAGTAATGCAAATCATGATCTGAATATGGAATTTGGTATAAATGTGTTATGCCATAGGCTGTGCAGTTGAAAAGTAGAAACCAAATGCTACACAAAGCCTAAATCAGCTAAAATATTTTATATTTTCCTTTTATAAAGGATAGCAACTTACATAGCATATTTAAGACCCTTGGTTTGGTCCCCACCATTGCCAAAATTTTTAAAATGTCAAAATTCCTTTTCCTCTTCTTCCTTTTCTTTAATAATAACTTTTAAAACCAGCCCAATTTATTTTCTCTCTTATTAAGAAATAAAAGTTTGAAGTAGGAGGATTGCCAAGTTTGAGTCCATTTAGTTGTCATACATAATATGGTCAAGATAGTGAGACCCTATTTCAAAAAATAAATTAATGCATAAAAATAAAAGTAACCCATTGCTGATGACTACAGGTTCAGGCTTGAAAAGTTAACAGTTTTATTCAACTACATTTGTTCTTGCTACCAGCTTGATTCCTTGAATTATAGTTTTCTAAGAAAAAATAATTTTTAATAATCTAAGGTAAATTTGATAGGTTAGTAGTAGCAAAATAAGGCTGTTCGCCACAATGGATGTTAGTAGCCATTCTTACAAGGAATGTTTTGAAGCATAATTTTTGCAAAGAATTAATCTTAAGAATTGCTTATAGATGATAAGTATAAATACAAAAATAGTTTTTAGAAAGTATTAATTTTCTTACCTTTTTGATAGAGCAAGTTGCTTTGTTCCCCCAACTGAGCTGTAAACCAATATTCTCACCCATTGTAGGGGTGAGGAGATGTAAAGGCATATTGCCATTCATCTGTCCCTCAGGTGGGCAAGACCCTTAATTGGAATCCAATTAAGGATTTAGACTGATCTCTTCACCTTAATGCTCATGGAGTTCAGGACACGTTACTCCAAAATATAGCACCTGGGTATTTGAGGAAACAGTGGGAAGGTCACTCACACCTCCCCTTCACTCTTTCTGTCCTGAAGCAGGTCATAAAATCTAGTTAACCTTCTCTGTGATTTAGGTCATAAACCCTGTATTCCAGAGATACCCTCCCTATATCTAAAGGAAAGGAACATTCTTATCCTCCAAGACAGAGATAGATACCAAGCAGAACCTGAACATACAGACCTTGCTAGTTTGATTAGTATGAACTGCCAGTCATACTAATGCACAACTGTCAGTAAAAAACAGATTTCTCTGTTTCTCTGAGTCTTAAATTCATATTAAATAAGTTTATTATAAAATAAGCATCAGATAAATGCCTTTCTCCTGTCAATCTGCCTTTTGTTATAGGGGCCTCAGCCATGAACCTGGCCATGAATGAGAAAAGAAGTCTCTCTTCCCCTACACTGCTCTTAAAAAGAACTACTTCCAAAGGGATTGAGTCATAATAAGGTCAGCTCAGGCTCTCATAATTTTCCTTCCTTGAAGCATTCATGATATAATCCAAGGGTTCCACACACTGTTTTCCTGTCCATTCTCAAAATGTGCTTCATGGAACTGATGTTCTGAGCCATTAAACTGAGATGAAGAGCTCTTAATTGCTGCCATTATGTTTTGGAGTCTTCATTTCAGTAGTGTGTATGATAGCACCCAACAAAGGTAGGGCTTTATATGGGTATTTAATAGATGGTGGTTTAATTGAATTTTTTAAAGCAGAGGTAGCATTCTATTTTAAGAAATTTGAAGGTCTAACAGGATGTTTGCATTGATTTAGTATCTGTTGAAATTCAACTGAGGATATTGTTTTGGGGAAAAGAGGAGAAGGAAATTAAAAATTTATTTCTCCATAGTCACACGACTGAGCTAAATCATTGTGGTTGGAGAGAAATATTCTGGGAAATCTAGCCCTGGGCCTCAAATATTCCACAGTATGTTTGCCTGTGTAAAACATGGGGAGGCAAGAGTTTGCCAGGGCTGCTCCCTTGAATACGAAAAAGATCTGACTTTCCATTACAATTAACCTGCAATTTCATATAAGGACTTAAAGGCTTTCAAACTCAAAAGGATATAAAAATTCCCTGAAGTGTTCATTTAAAATACAGATTCCAAAATTTCTTCTCTGCCTCATTCCCCAGCCAATTCTTATGTATGAAATAAGGCCAGGATTTTGTATTTTTAACTGACAAACCAGGTGATTCTGATGCAGGTAGTCAAAATCCAGGCTTTCAGAACACATCAAAAAGAAGAACATGTGTAGACTATAGATTCTACTTTTATGAGCACTGTTATAAAAGAGTTCATCAAAGTTCATCTTTGCTGCTATGTGATCTCACCTTAAGGAACTGATCTGTTTCTTCCCTCTTAAGGTCACACATACTAAGATGAATGTGAGCTCACATCACCTATTGGCCAAACAGGAAGAGTTGGCCTTTGATGTACTACTATTTTTGTTGTCGCTACGTGTTTCTTTCTAATCCAGGTGCCTTCTAATCAGTGCCTTATCATCTTAAATAAGCCACCTCTCTTTTTTCTCAGTTGTCCAACCACTAAACTTTACCAAGGCTATCAATAAGTAATGGTGAAGAACAGAACTTCTAAACCCCAGTCAAGATGCAAATCCTCACTGAGACCCATCTTTTATTTGCAGCTGTTCTGCAGTTCTCTGTTGTCTAACTTTATCCTAGAGGGATTGCTCTGTGATCCTACTTCTTATTACCCTCTAAGAATCCCCTAACTTCTTAGATATGTTTTCCATTTTCTTAGTGTGAGTCAGTGGCCTTCAAATTGGGATAGATACAAGTATCCATTTTGAGGGGTATATAAGCCACAGATAGTTTTAAGGAGATCATTTTCCAGATCATCAATTTCCATTTGTATATATCTTTGTCGATAGTACAACAATATATTGTCCAGGGTGCAAATGTCTTCAAGATACCAACAATAGGACAGTCCTAAATATTTTTTTGATTTAAGGACTTTACCTGTCCCACTCCCCATAATTTTTTTTATAATTTCTCCAAGCAAAGAGGAAAATTTTGATAAGAAATAGCCAAGGCTGTGACACGTTCTTCCATAGCAATCCTTAGTCTATAAAAATGTCAAAAAATATCAAAAATATTACATTAAAAAGATCTATTAAATTAACATTTTTATTTCCCCAGCCCCTTCTGAATAAATGAGTTAGACAAAGTACCTCTAAGTGAAAGTGTAGTATTTAAAGTAAATGGTTCCAATAGCTGAGTAATAGTCTTTCCAGTCAGATTTCCAATTACTTGCTTCCAATGCAATTAAAGAATAACCTAATTGAGTTGTTGATAGTAGATCATTTAAAATAATATCTAATGATAAATTACTATGATTTTTGATGTTTAATTGAGAAGTGAAGCCATCACAAAATCTCTAACATTCATACCTTCTTATTTATGTGAACAAATTTTCTCAACATTTACGTATGTAAAAACCACAAAGAATTGGATGAAATGATATTGAATTCTGAATAATACTGAATTCTCATTTCCCTTTAGAAATAATTGTTCATTTATAGATATGTGAGTTAAAAGAGAGGAACATTCACTTCATTAAAAAAAGTATCTCCAGAAAATTTTCATTTTATATTTAATAATATTTATTCAATTGTATAGTATTTCCAAGTCGCTGTCCTAAAGACAAATCTTCCAGACTCATGTCTGGAGAATAAAATACTTGCTGATAGCATTCTGGAAATACAGTGGGCAAAGGAGGTCGGAGGTGTTTGTTTTGGTTTTGAGTCAAGGTTTCTCTGTGTTGTCCAGACTGGTCCCAAACTCCTGGGCTCAGTTCACTCTTTTGGCCCAGCCTCCTGAGCACTAAGCAGGCTGGAGGTCTCATCACTGCTTATTACACTTGTTTGGTGCTATCCTGCCCCCAACTCCCTGGTCTTTGTGAGTTTGGACATTTTTTTTTTCAGAGTTTCTGCAGAATTAACCTCCTATCTTGCATTAAAGCTGAGAAAGCTGTCTGCTGTCTCCAATTCCTGCTGCTTTTCAGGTTCTCTGCCCCACATGTCCCCACATTGGCTCACCAAATTCATCCTCCTATGCCTGGATTTTAGCAGCTTTGTTGTTGTTGCTCATTACTTTGATATTGTGACTCTGCTTGGGTCCAATATGCTTTTCAGTTAACTCCATACAACCTACTCCTACCCTGATGCCTTTTT